CATAGTTCGAAGTACATTATGAGTGCTGATAAGACTCAGGCAAGATCGAAATGGCAGTCAAGCCGGAAGGAGAGGATTATTTTTGCAGGCAAGGTTGATTGCAATTTAATGGCAACTTTAGGCCTATGCTCATTATATTATGGGAAATTTAACCTTTATTCCACAAATCACTTTAAACCACAAGACAGACACATGATTGCTCATGCATCTCTTTTTGGTCATCATGACTATGTGCGTGTTAGCCATTCTTTGTCACTAGCCCTAATATCTAATCAGTTCCTACTTCATATCAAAGATACATCAATTGAAAATATTTCTTACCAAATCAGCCAAATAGAAATAAATAAATAAATATAATCAAATCATAATTATATACTTATATAAATATTATCATAAATCGAATAATGACACGGGAATCTAGAATACATATATTCTTTAAGAGTATGTTCCGAAGCTAAGCCTACTTATAGCGAATTTAAGTAATATCGTTTATTCTACTGACAAATACACGATTATCTCATCTATAAACCCTTTATAAATGCGATTTCAGAGGGTTATAGCTTGCTCAGAAAGTTAACTCTGCTATTGTCTGGGGAGTATGCACTCTCAGTTCTTAAATCAACTTAAGTGACTCAAAGTGTTTAAGCTGCTCGTCTAAGGTCGTAGACACTTTGTGATATGTTTTAATTGAAGCGCTGCATTTCTGGAGGCTAATCTACTAGTCTTTTTTTGTCTTGGCTCTAATCACGTTCACTTCTATGTATTTTTAGACCACTCTTTCCCTCTCATTTGACGACAAAAAACATGCTCATCAACATAACCAGGAGTTTGTTGTGGTGGTCATCAAACCTTGATGGCCGAGAACAAATGTCACTTTTGCTGTCCCAATTACTTTAAGCCATCACTGCTCGTTTCATGCATATGCGAACACATGCAGGTACATACACACACAGCGACACACACACTCACATGCTTTGAGGTTGACATATGACTGGAACTAACTAATTCACATTATACCTCATCAAAGAGGTCAGATATAGAGTCGGTGAGTTTTGTCCACCAGCTAGCTTAAATATGGTTGTAGGAAAGAGACACTTTTCTGATGATGTCCGTCATGAAATGGACGAAAAATTGGCACGTTTTCACCTCGGAAACAGCCTCAACAAGAATGTTCCGCCGTGGTCTTCTGGCGGGATCGCGCCTCGAATCTCTTCACCAACAAACACTTTCACTCAAAATGGAAGTAAGTTCAACAACTATGAAACAATAGCTTTTTCAAACCCAACTTTTCTTCACACACAACTTTTTTTCCCACTTTGTCTGAAATGCATTTTTAAGGTTTGCAGCCAGGATGTCTGCTTTGGGAATTCCATTCTTCGCCAGACTGCCAGAAAGGCGTCTTCATTTTGCGCCACCGAGACAGCCAACTGCCCCGGCGACATGCCGCGGCCACTTGACGACTCAGTCGTCGGGTCGGAGCTTCGTTGGCATGGCGACAAAGAGATCGAGGAGCGGGTTTTTGAGCAGGTCTCCGAGCTCACAAGTGGCCCACACGCCGGAGGACCGTATCGCCAGCGCCTCTTGTCGCCCCAGTCGCCGGCCGTCTCCAAGACACAAGAGCCGAAGGGTCGTGGAAGTCCTGGCAACCCCGCAACGCCCGCGTCTACGTCGGCGTGTCTGCAGCATGTGCAGTCGCTAAGGCCGGGTCTGTCGCCGGACGAGATGGTCAGTGGCCGACGTCTCGTGGAGTTCGCCGACGAGGACCTGGCTCACATGGTCTACGGGATTGGGCAGCCTGGCCAACATGGAAGGTACCAGGAGGCCGAAGAAGAGGAGGAGGAGGAAATGGATGATGATGATGATGATAATGATGATGATGATGATGATGAAGGAGAAGAGGAGGTCAACGGCGACGAAGTGGAAGACGTCGTCGTAGATATGAACACGAGCAGTCAAATGATGGACGTGGCCGACGAGGAAGATGCGAAAGATGAGGATGGCGATGAGTTTTTCTTCGGCGCCGGAGAGATGGAGTATCGCGAGGATCAGTCGCCATTGTTTGCACTTCACATGTCGCCAGCCGAGCTGATGAGCCCCAGCGACTGTCTCAGTCGAGTGTTCAAAAACTGCGGTCGTCGAGTGGCAGACGCGTCTGGAGAGATGAAAAGAGTCGAGGCCAAAGCGGATCGCGACGAGGGCAGATGTGACGAAGTGGGGCACAGAGAGGCCGTTCACAGACGACAGCGCCACCCTTCGCAACAGAACAAAAGGGGCCCAAAAGACGAGGAGAGCCTCGGCGACTGGGAGGCAACCAATTACACCGGCCTGAAGGTGGGTCGGTCGCAGACGCTCGACAGCCGGACAAAATCCTCAGAAATGTCTTTCTCCGGTCTCAGATCTGGACCCAACGACACGTCACGAGAAGTCCACAAACGACACTCGGCACTGCCCAACTAGCCGGGACCTTCAAAAAGGTCTACAGGTCCATGCAAAGATGAAGCAGTCGACTCGGTATCACTTCCATCGTCGTCATCATCATCATCCTCATCATCAGCAGCAGCATCGGCATCATCAACATTATCACCTTTATTACCTATTCCAGCCCACTGACGTTGCCTGTAGCCAAATGCAAGCCACACTCTAGCGCCCATTAGCGCAACTGACTTGTCGCCATGACTACCGGCATTAGCAGGAAGTGCTTGTCGTTTGGTTGGGGAAGCGGACGATTGTGTAGTTGTGACGAGAAGGCAGTGGATATGTCAGCTCGTTGAGGCAAAATTATCACATTTTTCTGCTTTCAAGCAGGCTTTCTAAGCGACATGTCAAGTGAAGTTTCGTGTGGGAACACAATCTACCAATCCGCCCATCCCCTCGACGTATCTGTCCATTCGGTCGAGCCTGTTAGCAAACAACACACCCTCTTCGTAACCCAACCAATGCATACCCTCCATTGATGTACAACTGATCGTTTAGGCATACATGCTTCTGCTTTGTCTATTCCAAAATGAG